TATAGCCTCCTACTACAGTGGGACGTTGTGGGGATTTCCCTACCAACTCTCGAAGGCCCCGAGATGTGACGAAATAACGGAAAAGAACCGAACGAAGTCATAATACCCCTAGAATAGTGAACAGGACTGGTGTTTCCTGGATTCCCCTTTTTTTGAGGATTGTTTAGAATTATTCTACCGTGAAGCGTTGGTTGTTTAAAGCGTTTTCGTCGTTTATTGCTTCCTTATTTCTGATGTTGGTTACTTTCGTTCGTTTATCGCCATCAGTGCGCCCTATTTGAAAGCGGTGTTCTTACTACGTGACTTCATCTTCGCCAGGAATTTCCTTGACATGTCAGCATTGTTGCATCTAACCCTAACTCACCAGTATACATACATGGAGACTTTCGATCCATTCTAAGCCACTCCTCACCGCCACCCTAAGATGGCAGCCCCAGAATATACCCAGTTCGCATTTCAGTCCTTAAGTTCTGGTCAAGACAAACACCGGTTGGACCTGAACTTTACGGGTCGCTGAATGAATTACACAAGACAGTGAAGTTCATACTACAGACAACATTGCAAATATAGATAATCGATTTCCGATGAAGGGAAGAAAAAGACGAAGAAGATACTTACTCTACCCCCACCCGCCACTTTTTTTTGTGGTGCACTAGCCAGGCAGCCTTACATCCTCAACCCCCCCCCCCCCTTTTTTTTTGTTGTTGTTGTTGTTGTTGTTGTTGTTGTTGGTAGGTCCTACACCATTAAATGGTAAAAACGAACAGTAAAAGTTAAGAACCCTTTTTCATGTCTTCATTCGTAGGGTCATATTTTATACACCAATGGGAATTCAGTAGGTCAAGGTCATTTCTGAAAAAAAGTCCGGCTCCTTCAGAAGCAAAAAGAACAAAAATAATATTAATAACAGTAATATTACAATCATTATTATTAGCACAAATAAGTGAGCCGCCGTAGTGTAGCGGTTCTCTTGATCGGGTCCTGACATAGTCAGACTATGTTCAATATGACCTTAGCTCCCAGATCGACCAAGCCTTAAATGGGTACCAAGTAAAGTCATTGGAAGTGAAGGCGGCTGTCAAGACGCTGACCACATCACCCATATAGTACCGATGGATCAAAACAAATATAGGTCTAACACTATATACCGCATTAACAGGTTAAACTCAGCATGTAGTAAATACAACATGAAGATCAATGTAAACAAAACCGAAAAAATGCAAGTTAGTAGACATTCTGCCCCACTACACATACAGCTGAATGGTTCTGCCCTGAATCAAGTTAGAGAGTTTAAATATCTAGGAAGTATGATCACAGAAGATGGTAGAATTGACAGAGAAATAGAAACCAGATGTCAGAAAGCAAGTGCACTTATATACCAATTGTCACCATTATTAAGACATCCAAGCATAACTATGAGTGCAAAGAGTCAGATTATTAATAGCATATTCATTTCAACATTAAGCTACGAGTGCCAAACATGGACAATATCTAAAGCCCATATACGCAAAATTACCACCTGCCAGATGAGGTGCCCGAGAAAAGCAGCCAACCTAACCATACGAGATCGAGTGAATAATGAAACTATCAGGCAAATTGTGGGAACGACACCTTTTACTAGATTAATCGAGAAACAGCAGATCAAGCGATTTAGCCATCTCGTTAGAATGCAGCAAGATCAAATACCATCACAAGCACTACATCTCAGAAGACCAACTACAAGAGCAAGAGGAAGTCAGCGGAAAACATGGATCGACAACATTAAAGACATTCTACACCTTCACGGCATGACAATAGCCAGTGGCAGCCAACGTGCACTGGAACACAAATTATTTCTCCCCACGACGCTTAACAGCAGAAGTGGTTTATGATGATGATGATGATGACTATATGCTTAAAAAGACTGAATGCCTGGAAAAGGGTCCTTTATATTGTAATTATTACTATATTTTTTTCCTAAAAGGCGTTCGGAAAAGGAAGGGGGGGGGGGGGGGGGTTGGGTGGCTGACCTTTGTAACTTCTAATAATGGTAATGCTGTTTCTAATACCTGTGAGTACCTCTTATTTTTGAAGGTATGTCACGGGATGCACCCCCCCCCCCCCCCACCCCCCCCCCCCCCCCCCCCCCCCCCCCAGTCATACCGAAAAATATATAAATATAGTTTTTTTTCCCCCTCTACTCCTGGAATGCCTCGCGGCGTCAGGGCAGGAACACATCTCTGGAACGGGCCCTATTGTTCGCTTCGTATGAAGTACATTTTAGTGTGTGATATTTCTGCGGTCCATCTTCTGCTTGGTCGACGTATTGATATTAAAATCACGAAAAGAATTGTATTCCAAAGTTTTAAATGCTATCGTGCAAACCTTAAATTCGTTCCGTCGACCACCAAACTAGAAACAACTTTGGAGATTTAACAAGGTTATCTAGTATTTGCATTGTTTTACTGACATCCTTCTTCTTCTTCTTCTTGGCGTTAAACGGCTGTAAACTTCCTATTGTTCGTCTACTTCTGCAATCTGATCATGATTCAGAGCTTAAGCTGTGCATGCACATAAGTTTTACAGAGCTGGCTTATTTGTATGCAGCCTGCTGGTTCAGACAGATGCACTCCGACTATGAACGAAACACCAAACATTAGTCAACTTTTACGTCAGTCTTGTTATAGGAAAGTGTCTTTATTCTTCACTACCCCCCCCCCCCCCCACCCAGTTTGTGGTGGCTGTGACCTGCCCTGTGCAGGCAGAGATGCAGTCTGTGGGAACTGTGGGAATAGTGCCCCAGTCTGTGCAGGCAGAAATCCCATCTGTGCAGGCAGGGACCCAGTCTTTGGAGGTAGTGACCCAGTATGTGCGGACAGGGATCCAGTCTGTGAGGGCAGGGATCCAGTCTGTGGGGGGCAGTGACCCAGTCTGTGCAGGCAGGAACGCAGTCTGTGGATAGGTCCTACCTCAGGAAAGTGCTCCAACTCTTAGTCCCAGAGCCTCAGCGTCCATTAAATGGGTAAATAGAGATATTCCCTACTGTTTCCATCTATGACGAAATCTTAGTAGCCGTGGCTGAGTGGTCTCGAGGCATGTCGTCCGCCTCGAGTGCTGGAGGTCCCGGGTTCAGCCGGAATTTTTTCACGTGGACTTCCAGTCATTTCCCCTTGTCTCTGGGTAGTAAGACCGGACGCCCAAGTGTATTGCTGGGCAAGTAAAAAATCCCCTGGCAGTTAGAAATATAAAAAAAGTAGCCTAATGGCGCTGCCCGGACAAAATTGAGTGTCTAAAATCTACCCAAAATATTTCAGGAGCCTCGCCGGTGCTACGGAGTTTGTGCACTGCACTGACATTCTTCAGACTAAGGCTTGTGCTAGAAGTAGAATGGAGCACTTATGGGTTACTACACTTGTGCTGTGAGTGTCTTAATTCAACATTCCAACTGTGTCTGTTTCACCTATTTGAGGGCAAGTATTTAATTCTGTAAACCAGCTCCTTTGGGAAAATGGCGAGGATTGAAAGAGTTCATAATTGCTAATGTGATTTCTTATACGATAGCCTCTAGAACAATCTCAAAGAAATGTAGATCAGCTTATCATCACAACATTGTCCTAATGTTTGGTTGGTTGGCCATGTAACAAGAATGACCTGTTCCTGAGATCTCTTCCTGTCCTGACGCTGCAAGGCATTCCAGGAGTAGAGAAAAGAAGAAGCAGAAGAAGATTGTCCTATTGTGTTATCAGATGTCATACAGGGCTCACAGCTGATTCTTGAATTATGTTCTAACCTGTTCTATTCCTTCGATATCAAGAACGGAATCCATTCTAGCACCTCTCACTTCACATTTTCTGAAATGGCTTCATTTTCTGCAAGTTTCTGTAACAAATATTTTTTTTTATAGGGTGGCAAAACTGTCCCCACATCCAACCCTCCTCCTTTCTCATCCTGACCATGGACCAGCAATGGTGGAAATATACTTTTACAACACACTAGAAAAAGCACACAAAAGATCCTCACAACTCTGCAACACACCAATCAGGTTAACTGGAGGAAAAGAAGAAGAAAGGGATGTTTTAATGATAAACTTTATTTTATACGATGTTCTCTATCAATTATATTATGTAATGTAACAAACATTTCAATTATATACATTTTTTCATGCTGAAAATCAGCAGACAATTTGCGCAAAAGAAATGTAAAAAAGTGTTAAATATATGCACACACAAGATTTGCTTTATCCAACTTACAGCGAACTTTATCCACTGTAGAGCTGTCAGTCATAAATGTAAGTATCAGGTTTATCATCAGAAGGAGCATAGGCCCTCAACTTATGCCAAACCTTCTTAACCTTCACCTTCTCATGCAGCACTCCTTATCTGTCTCTCTTCTCCAAATGTATACTCAAGCTCCCTTATTTAACTGGGCCTGTGGGTTCCACTGCAAGGACATTCTACTTAAACAATTATCAGGGTTTTTTTCAGTGTGTGTCCTATCCAGTGCTGGCATCCTATCCTCACCTCTTGGTGTAATGAGGTTTGCTCTCTCCAAGCTGTGTGTCTGATATGGCAGCAGACTGCCTTGCGTATCAAGACACGACCTTTCAGAAAGCAACAGCAAACTAGTGAGCATAAAATTGCCTAGTAAAATTACAAATAGTTTTTAAAAAAAATAATACCTTGGTTGGTTTTGAAACTTCCTATAAAGGAGAAGAAACAAATAAAAAAAATTTTTTTTAACTTTCTTTCCTAAAGCTCCAAATTAGGGATTCTGTGACATCATTTCATTTCTTCTATTCTGCGCGAGAACCAGTTAAATGAATAAAGGCAGTTTATTCTCATTGTTTTAGTCATTCTTAATACTTGTGCTATACACAATATGACTGATTTGACATTAGAATACTCAGCTGGGTATTTAATTAGCTATTTACTACCCGCCAACTGCCATCTTTGATCACATTTGCTGGCAAAAATACAGAAAATCACTGAATAATATAAACAACTGTAGCCTGGAGAATGTGTTTAAGAAAGACTGGAGTCTGATTCTGTCAGTTTGCTGAAAGACAGGTCCTGACTGTCTGTCAGACCCTCACTGTCATTGATTTGGTTGTCAGATGCAAAGATGGAAGCAGGCTCCTGGCTAGGTTCATGACCCTGAGGAGCAGACATTGTGAAAGATCATTGTTATGATTTCCTTGTTTAAGTACACAACACTTTATTGGCAACTTTCCCACGTGGGTTCCCAGATTCCATTGTGAAGAACAAATAACAGACCCACTGCTCTGATATCGGGCGACTAATTAAGAGTGTTTCCTTCAAAACTCATGTCCCTTTCCTTCAAAACTCAGAGTGCATGTCCCTTTCCTTCAAAACTCATGTCCCTTTCCTTTAAAACTCAGTGCATGCCCCTTTCCTTCAAAACTCATGTCCCTTTTCCTCAAAACTCAGAGTGCATGTCCCTTTCCTTCAAAACTCATGTCCCTTTCCTTTAAAACTCATGTCCCTTTCCTTCAAAACAGAGTGCATGCCCCTTTCCTTCAAAACTCATGTCCCTTTCCTTCAAAACTCATGTCCCTTTCCTTCAAAACTCAGAGTGCATGTCCCTCTCCTTCAAAACTCATGTCCCTTTCCCTCAAAACTCAGAGTGCATGTCCCTCTCCTTCAAAACTCATGTCCCTTTCCTTCAAAACAGAGTGCATGTCTCTTTCCTTCAAAACAGAGTGCATGTCCCTTTCCTTCAAAACAGAGTGCATGCCCCTTTCCTTCAAAACTCATGTCCCTTTCCTTCAATACTCAGTGCATGCCCCTTTCCTTCAAAACTCATGTCCCTTTTCCTCAAAACTCAGAGTGCATGTCCCTCTCCTTCAAAACTCATGTCCCTTTCCTTCAAAACTCAGAGTGCATGTCCCTTTCCTTCAAAACTCATGTCCCTTTTCCTCAAAACTCAGAGTGCATGTCCCTTTCCTTCAAAACTCATGTCCCTTTCCTTTAAAACTCATGTCCCTTTCCTTCAAAACAGAGTGCATGCCCCTTTCCTTCAAAACTCAGAGTGCATGTCCCTCTCCTTCAAAACTCATGTCCCTTTCCTTCAAAACTCAGTGCATGTCCCTTTCCCTCAAAACTCAGAGTGCATGTCCCTCTCCTTCAAAACTCATGTCCCTTTCCTGCAAAACATAGTGCATGTATCTTTCCTTCAAAACAGAGTGCATGTCCCTTTCCTTCAAAACAGAGTGCATGTCTCTTTCCTTCAAAACAGAGTGCATATCCCTTTCCTTCAAAACAGAGTGCATGTCCCTTTCCTTCAAAACTCATGTCCCTGTCCTTCAAAGCAGAGTGCATGTCCCTTTCCTTCAAAACTCATGTCCCTTTCCTTCAAAACTCACGTCCCTTTCCTTCAAAACAGAGTGCATGTCCCTTTCCTTCAAAACTCATGTCCCTTTCCTTCAAAACTCATGTCCCTTTCCTTCAAAACTCAGAGTGCATGTCCCTCTCCTTCAAAACTCATGTCCCTTTCCCCTCAAAACTCAGAGTGCATGTCCCTCTCCTTCAAAACTCATGTCCTTTCCTTTCAAAACAGAGTGCATGTCCCTTTCCTTCAAAACTCATGTCCCTTTCCTTCAAAACTCATGTCCCTTTCCTTCAAAACTCAGAGTGCATGTCCCTCTCCTTCAAAACTCATGTCCCTTTCCCTCAAAACTCAGAGTGCATGTCCCTCTCCTTCAAAACTCATGTCCCTTTCCTTCAAAACTCAGAGTGCATGTCCCTCTCCTTCAAAACTCATGTCCCTTTCCCTCAAAACTCAGAGTGCATGTCCCTCTCCTTCAAAACTCATGTCCCTTTCCTTCAAAACAGAGTGCATGTCTCTTTCCTTCAAAACAGAGTGCATGTCCCTTTCCTTCAAAACAGAGTGCATGTCCCTTTCCTTCAAAACTCAGAGTGCATGTCCCTTTCCTTCAAAACTCATGTCCCTTTTCCTCAAAACTCAGAGTGCATGTCCCTTTCCTTCAAAACTCATGTCCCTTTCCTTTAAAACTCATGTCCCTTTCCTTCAAAACAGAGTGCATGCCCCTTTCCTTCAAAACTCAGAGTGCATGTCCCTCTCCTTCAAAACTCATGTCCCTTTCCTTCAAAACTCAGTGCATGTCCCTTTCCCTCAAAACTCAGAGTGCATGTCCCTCTCCTTCAAAACTCATGTCCCTTTCCTTCAAAACAGAGTGCATGTCTCTTTCCTTCAAAACAGAGTGCATGTCTCTTTCCTTCAAAACAGAGTGCATATCCCTTTCCTTCAAAACAGAGTGCATGTCCCTTTCCTTCAAAACTCATGTCCCTTTCCTTCAAAGCAGAGTGCATGTCCCTTTCCTTCAAAACGCATGTCCCTTTCCTTCAAAACTCACGTCCCTTTCCTTCAAAACAGAGTGCATGTCCCTTTCCTTCAAAACTCATGTCCCTTTCCTTCAAAACAGAGTGCATGTCCCTTTCCTTCAAAACTCATGTCCCTTTCCTTCAAAACAGAGTGCATGTCCCTTTCCTTCAAAACAGAGAGCATGTCCCTTTTCCTTCAAAACCCAGAGTACATGTCCCTGAGAGGCAAGGAACCAACTGTCTGCATACAAATAAGCCAGATCTGTAAAATGAATGTGCACACAAAACTCAAGTTCTGGTCGTAACTTTCCACCTGAGTTTACAGCTGGCGAACATCAAGAAGAAGAAGATTGGCAAATTTGAGACTCTTTCCCCATGCCATGATTGTCAAACAGTCTCACATCTTCTCTACTGGTCTCTTCACCTCCAATTTTTATGCTGCCATGGTACCAACCTATCAAACATCTTCTCTCTTCGTCTTTCCCTATTACCTTTAATCAACAATGTTCGTGCTACCACAATCTCAAACTCTAAATATTCTCACTGTCTCTCCTCCATGCGCCCTCCCCTCCCCAATCTTCCTCTCCAATTTGCGTGCCATGTTGCCATGTTACCAACCTACCTTCATCTTCCTCTGTTGATCTTCATCAACAATTTTCATGCTACCACAATCTCAAACTCTCTCAATCTTCTCGCTAGTTCCCTTTATGATAGGCTTGTTAGAGGGCAGCGGATTTGTTCTTTTCCCTCCAAAATGTGTGCCTGGACCCCCAAAACTGGGCCAAGAACAGGAAGAGTTGAGTTGAGTTAGGACATACAGTTGAATATTTAGGACATTCTGAGATGTGCTCCGTCCGCACCTTAGGCAACCAACAAAGAGCTCCAACTCCAACTGTACTAGCGACTGTCTGATTATATGTCCACCTTTCCTTTCCTCTGAGTGTGGAGAGTCAGACAGATCTCCTGATCACTCTCCATTGCACCATTCTCTTCGGACTGAAATAATCTAATTTTGCCTTTGCCCTGTTCACTTGTTCCCAAGGGGCTTTGACAACATCAAGCTTGTCATGTATCAGTTTACCACAGAGTGTTGCAGAACCAGCCAGTCTTACCACAGAGTGGTGCAGAACCAGCCACTTACCACAGAGTGTTGCAGAACCAGCCACTTACCACAGAGTGTTGCAGAACCAGCCACTTACCACAGAGTGTTGCAGAACCAGCCACTTACCACAGAGTGTTGCAGAACCAGCCACTTACCACAGAGTGTTGCAGAACCAGCCACTTACCACAGAGTGTTGCAGAACCAGCCACTTACCACAGAGTGTTGCAGAACCAGCCACTTACCACAGAGTGTTGCAGAACCAGCCACTTACCACAGAGTGTTGCAGAACCAGCCACTTACCACAGAGTGTTGCAGAACCAGCCACTTACCACAGTGTTGCAGAACCAGCCACTTACCACAGTGTTGCAGAACCAGCCACTTACCACAGAGTGTTGCAGAACCAGCCACTTACCACAGTGTTGCAGAACCAGCCACTTACCACAGTGTTGCAGAACCAGCCACTTACCACAGTGTTGCAGAACCAGCCACTTACCACAGTGTTGCAGAACCAGCCACTTACCACAGAGTGTTGCAGAACCAGCCACTTACCACTGCAGAAACCAGCCACTTACCACAGTGTTGCAGAACCAGCCACTTACCACAGTGTTGCAGAACCAGCCACTTACCACAGTGTTGCAGAAACCAGCCACTTACCACACAGTGTTGCAGAACCAGCCACTTACCACAGTGTTGTCTTACCACAGTGTTGCAGAACCAGCCACTTACCACAGTGTGTTGCAGAACCAGCCACTTACCACAGAGTGTTGCAGAACCAGCCACTTACCACAGTGTTGCAGAACCAGCCACTTACCACACAGTGTTGCAGAACCAGCCACTTACCACAGAGTGTTGCAGAACCAGCCAGTCTTACCACAGAGTGTTGCAGAACCAGCCAGTCTTACCACAGTGTTGCAGAACCAGCCAGTCTTACCACAGTGTTGCAGAACCAGCCAGTCTTACCACAGTGTTGCAGAACCAGCCAGTCTTACCACAGTGTTGCAGAACCAGCCACTTACCCACAGTGTTGCAGAACCAGCCAGTCTTACCACAGTGTTGCAGAACCAGCCAGTCTTACCACACAGTGTTGCAGAACCAGCCAGTCTTACCACAGAGTGTTGCAGAACCAGCCAGTCTTACCACAGTGTTGCAGAACCAGCCACTTACCACACAGTGTTGCAGAACCAGCCACTTACCACACAGTGTTGCAGAACCAGCCACTTACCACACAGTGTTGCAGAACCAGCCACTTACCACACAGTGTTGCAGAACCAGCCAGTCTTACCACAGAGTGTTGCAGAACCAGCCAGTCTTACCACAGAGTGTTGCAGAACCAGCCACTTACCACACAGTGTTGCAGAACCAGCCAGTCTTACCACAGTGTTGCAGAACCAGCCAGTCTTACCACAGAGTGTTGCAGAACCAGCCAGTCTTACCACAGTGTTGCAGAACCAGCCAGTCTTACCACAGTGTTGCAGAACCAGCCAGTCTTACCACAGTGTTGCAGAACCAGCCAGTCTTACCACAGTGTTGCAGAACCAGCCAGTCTTACCACAGTGTTGCAGAACCAGCCAGTCTTACCACAGTGTTGCAGAACCAGCCAGTCTTACCACAGTGTTGCAGAACCAGCCAGTCTTACCACAGTGTTGCAGAACCAGCCAGTCTTACCACAGTGTTGCAGAACCAGCCAGTCTTACCACAGTGTTGCAGAACCAGCCAGTCTTACCACAGTGTTGCAGAACCAGCCAGTCTTACCACAGTGTTGCAGAACCAGCCAGTCTTACCACAGTGTTGCAGAACCAGCCAGTCTTACCACAGTGTTGCAGAACCAGCCAGTCTTACCACAATGTTGCAGAACCAGCCACTTACCACACAGTGTTGCAGAACCAGCCAGTCTTACCACAGTGTGTTGCAGAACCAGCCAGTCTTACCACAGAGTGTTGCAGAACCAGCCAGTCTTAACAAAGAGTGTTGCAGAACCAGCAAGTCTAAATACAGAGTGTTGCAGAACGAGCCAGTCTTACTACAGAGTGGTGCAGTACCGTCTAACGTCTTTTCCTTTAGTCTCCTCCTCCCGTTCTTCCCTTCCAATTTTCATGATGCCACCATGTCTCAAATCTTCTCTCTTGGCCTCTCTCCTCTAAATTTCCTGCTGTCATATGTGCCTCAATCTTCTCCTTCTCATGTTGTTTACAAAATATGGACTGTTCTGATACAAACAAGCAGCAAATTATGTCATGTAAGCAGGTTGATGTAGTCTTTGAGGTCAAGATAGGAGACACTGTAACCAACTGATCAAGGGAACAATCAGTTGAGGTTCCTTCGGGTGGCTGCCGCTTCAGAGGACTGACAACGTATAGGAATGTCCATCTAACATCTTCTTCATGTCTCCTTCTGCTGCTCTTTCCCTCAAATTGTTATGCTGCCACAGTCTCAAATTGTCTTCTTCTTCTGAAATATGCACTGACGTTGATCGTGGTGAAGTGGTAAACCTTTTTGCCTCATGCTCTGAAAGTCGTGGGTTTGTTTCATGGTGACGGTAGCAGCATTGGTTCACTAGTGCAATAATTAGGGAGACCCCCGGGGATGGTTGGCGGAGCTACGCAGTTCATGGTGTCTATGATGCTCTCAGTAGGCGGCTAGCAACTCTGCGAACAAAAAGTGAGCAAGTGCAATAAAGTCAATCCTCTCACCTTTAAAACTTATAACTCACATCTGAATGTGAACACTAACTTTGAATGTCACAATATGTTTTAACTTACATCAGCTAATTCAGACACTGGCGTCTGCTGGGTTGATTTCTGATCATCGTTGGGACTGTTTGCAGTCTTGACGACTTCAGCGTAAGACAATGAAGCTGAAGCAGACACAGCCGGAGCTTGTGCCCTTTGCCACGCAGGAAGTACCGGAGATGTCGAAGGTGCCGGTGGAAACTGACTCCTGTAATTAAAGAAATACTTTTAGTTATGTCACGACACATTTAAACTGCCATAACATAGAGCGGTTAGTTCGATGTTAGTCTCCCAAATAGAGCCGGTCACCTTTTATTCACAAGTTTGTTGGGCTAGTCGACTTTTCTGAAAGTTACGGGTGTGTCCCGCTCTGTTGTTTGGTTTCTGCTATGCCTTGCATTTAAGTCTTCATTCCGAGAAACAGAATGCCATAGGTTGCAGCACTCTCTAGAGGGGTTGTGTTAGATCCAGTTTCTGTTTTTGGAGTGTTAAAAGAGCCGGCCCTGTTGAAATATACAACATGTGATATCAAAGGCATTGCGGAACACCCCTGTATACGTGTGCAAAGGTCATTGGGCTCAGGAACTACTAGTGTGTATATGGGAAAACTAATGTCGACTAACCCATACTGCATATAAACAAACAACAAACATTCTAACAAAGCCTAGCAACTAAACAACTACAACATACTGTGTACAAACATAGCGAACATTCTATTCGTAACTAGCAACTTCTTCTGCCTTTTAACTCCCAATGGAGTATAGGTCCTCAATCAACTTAGGCCAAGTCATTCTATCCTTCCTATTGCATGCAGCTCTCCCTATGTCCTCCCCATCTGTTCAACTTCACTCTTAAGCTCCCTTCTGCATGTGTTTTTTGGTCTTTCTTTATTTATATGCCCCTGTGGGTTCCAGTGTAAAAAACATTCCAGTTATACTGTTCTCAGGTTTTCTCCAAGGTTTGTCCAAGGCAAGCGTCTTTTCTTCACTTCTTGGTCCATTAGAACTTGTTTAATCATTTCCCAAAGCTCTACATTAGTGATTCTATCATACCATTTAATTCCCTCTCTTCTGTGCAGGCACCAGTTAATGAAGGCTGCAGTTTTTAGTAATTGCCTTAGTTGCTCTCCATGTTTCTGCTCAGTGCAACAGTACTGATTTGACACCACTTTTCTTTACACGGGCAGGTCTTGCTAGTCACACTCGCCATTGCCATGGGCTGTGAGTCTCATGCCTTCTTTTAGCGCAATATAACACTATTGTCTGGAAAGACGGAAAGGTGCCAATGATTTGACATCAGAATTAAACATTCCCAGTTTAGTGTTAGTTTTAATTTCTTGTAACCTCCACAAATCTCCTAGTGCTTTAAAAGCTCCTCTTGCCTTTTGTAACTAGCACGTTATCAACCATAAATACTGCGGACAAACAATGAACATTCTAACTATATGTAACAACTAAACAACTACAACACACTGTACAAAAACATAATGAACATTGAAATCATACATAGGAACTTAAATGCAAAACATATTCATACAATTAATGTGATAACCATACCTAGGAGCTAAAGAACGACAACAAACTGCAAACAAACACAATGGACAATCTAACCAACACAGCCAAGCTTACTTGCTCAATAAAAGGCCCTTGAGGGAAGCGATGTCTGCTTTGATATCTGAGACGCCTCGCAGTTCTCCACTGCTGATTGCCGTCTGTAAGATAATCTTTACTAAAGCATCCATAAACAAAGCTAAATCTATCAACTGGCAACTTTAGCTATAAATAAAATAAGCCGACCACACCACCTAATAACTGTCCCTGCAGTGGCTTGATCCCACAAGTGCCACCCAGGCGTTTTAAAGTGCCGTTTTAGGGAGATTGGGGGGGGGGGAGGGGGGGGGGGGGGAGGGGGGAGGTTGTAAAAAAACTGGCTACTCTAAAGCATTTCTAAGATCATAAATTGCCATTCTGAGAAAATAAAATTGTCCATAGCTTTAGTCTTAGAATTTCTTAAGAGGTTAACTCTTTGAATCCCAGGTAGTTTAGCATTAGAGTTCCAAGGGGTAGTCAAGAGAGACGTAAAATCGGCGCACCTTACGTTCACCGGGCTTCTAGGTAGGAACCTATGAATGTATGATGCATTCATTGGGACTCAAAGAGTTAATGGATTGCCGAATGAGCACCTGATACATTTTTTGGCCCAGGAGAATTAAATCCAGATAAGCCGACACCCGGTTCATGTTTACTGGTTATTCTTTTCCATATTTCCCTTAAAAACAGTTTGCTACACACAAATATATAAACTAACTGTCACTACTGTCTGTATGTACCACCTTTTAAGGGCGGTGTAGACAGGAGGTTGTGAGCATGAGAATTCAGGGCCGCAGGGCTAGTGCCATGGACAGTACAAGTTAGGATGTTTAATTTTGCCCCCAACAGAAAAACTCCATCGCCTTACCGGGGGTCGGACCCGGGTCTCCCACACGACAGCCCAAGGCTGTAACCGCTCCTCTACAAATATACAGAAATACATTTTTTTAAGACTTAAGTGCCCTGCATAAAATAATTGTTTATTAAGTAATTTCTATGTGAGAGAACGGAAACTTCCGGAAATTGGACTGAGTTTTCAAAAGGGCTTGTGAGGTGAAAGAAATTACCATCATCATACTCTTCACACCCTGCGATCTCCAACAGCATTCATCAGTTCAAATGTTGACATCTGCCATGTTATGACACAAGCCTGTCAGGAATCTTCACATGCCATCTTTCTTTCCATAAATCTTTCCAGCAGTTACATAATATTCTAGTTTTTTCACTTCTCATAATGTGGCAAATTAATGATTACTGCCCCCCGTGTGGGTTCCGTGTCCCATTGTGGGGAAAACAAGAATAGACCCACTGCCTCCCCAAAAGCATGTCGTAAGAGTCGACTAATTGGGAAGCTTCCTTTGAAGTCGGAGTGCATCTGCCGGAGAGGCAAGGAACCAACAGTCTGTATTCAAGAGAATGAGATCTGTAAAACTGATGCACACGCAACACTCAGGTTCTGGAGCAGGACTGCAGTTCAGTAGTGGACGAGCAACCAGAACCTTCTGCCAGAGTTTACAGCTGGTGAACGTGAAGAAGAAGAAAAAATATTTACTGCTTCTTTGTGATATCTGTAATAAGTTATCCTTGCATGTTAGCCTCTTTCAGAACATCTAGGAACAGTTGTGTTTAGAGGAAAAATCATGAAGGGACTAGGGATATAAATAAAAATGACTGCAAGCAGGTTAAAGAGCTGAGCGTCTGAGAAGAAACACCCTTAAAATTCAAGCTATGGCAACAATGGTCCTTCAACCCCAAGCCCTCAATTCTGGAAGACTTTTCTTAATACAAGCTGGTCTTCCAAGTCACACTCCCCATCACCATCGACCGTGATTCTCATGCCTCCTTAACTCTCTGAGTCCCGAGGAACGCAGCATACTTTTATTAGTTCCTATCTAGAAGCCCAATGAAAGCATGATGCGCAGATTTCACGTCTCTCTTGGCTACCCCTTGGGCCTCTTATGCTAAACCTCCTGAGACTTAAAGAGCAATAGCCCAATATCTTCGCCTGCATTCACCCAAAGATGTAATTGTGTTAAACACGTTTACAGCATGGCTATGATATTTGCACCTTTCAGCCGACTTCTGCAGATATTTGTTGATTGGATTAGCACAATATAAAACTATTATCAGCAAAGGTACCAACAACAACAAAAACAATAAGAGCATAACAAAGCTATCACACAACAACAATCTACCTGTGTGTTTTGTTTGTTCAAAGACTCCTGTATGCCTACAAGTATCTTGTTAGTCTCTGCTAATGAATCTGCAACTGACTTTTCAATTTCCAGAATTCTGCGTTCCAGTTTTTCAAGTCGTCTTTCCTCAAATGACTTGCCAAACAAGCGTGGACGTAAATATGTCTGACATGGAGCAGAAGAATGATCACACTTTATGTCTATACTATGGATACATTCAAGGAACAAACAAAATCAATCAATCAGGTGCTGTCTCCTCAAAGAAGACTAGCTGTGATGGATCTGCAAGATACTGTCTCTTGTCTTGGTTATACACTCTCTCAGACTGCTGTCATGGCAGCTCCTAAAGTTGTCCTTCCCCTTGTACTGACGTCTTCCTGTTGCTCTAAACTTCTCTATCACAATAAAATAATTTCTAACAATTCTGAAAGGTAGCAAATACATTAAAAATGAGAATTCTCAAATGTTACGCATATTCAACCCTGCTATGCGGTGCAGAAATCTGGACAAAGATCAAGCAATTAAAAAGTTGAACTGAGTCTCTGAAGTTGTGGATATACAGAAGAATAGGTTGCATTTCACGAAAGAAGAAGAAAAAAAAAACAATCTCTTCTTCTTAGCACTCACTGGTTGTTCATTCCCTTCTGGACTCTGGCCTTGTTCCTGAACTTTGAGTCTGCATGCACTTCCACATTTTTTTAAGGCCTGGCTTATTTTTGAGGACTGTTGGTTCCTTGCTTCTCAGGCAGTAGCCCTTCGACTTCGAAGTAAACACCCCTAATTGGTCACCTTTTACGACATCTTGTTAAGGAAGCAGTGGGATTGTTCTTTTTGCTTTCTCAAAAAATGAGGCCCTGGCACCCATATGGGAAAAACAACAACAATCAAACAGGTAGGTTCTGGAGAGACTGAGAGGAAAAAGAGAGTTTATAAAAGAAAAACAAAACAAAAGAGAGATAAGTGACATACTTCACCAACACTGCAAAATGTCATACAACCATGGCCAGAGTAGAGGCTGCTAGAGACGGATTACAGCCAACCTTTGTTGTGGAGATGGTACCTGATTGGTCATGGCCATTGATTTAACCTTACGTGGCAATTCTTAGCCCCATTTAAAAAAAATTGGCTGACACACTCAGTTTCTGGAGACAGCTTTTATCGAGTCTTCTCTGTAGACAGTGCAGCCCCCTGTTGACGAGATTCTGTCTTCTCGGATAGTGGGCCGCCAAAATCAAAACATTGCAAAGGCAGCATGGTCGAGGCTGCCAAATATTTCGATCATTATCCCGCTCCAACATAGCACTATCATAATGCACACTGCTACCATGAAAAACATGTATCCTGTGTTGGAAATGCGAACAAAATAGCAGTCTATAAGGGAACAGAGAATCTGAGAGAAATCATAGCCATCGAAGAATATCACAGCTGCTATCTGCCATTCTGAAAACTGTACCTGAGTGACAATGACAAACTTCTGTAAAATTCTGCACACCTATAGCAGTTGCATGGCTACTGCCTTCCTCTTTGTCAACATCAGAGATGTGCAGAGGGGTGACCTGCTATTAGGCAACAGCTAGATTTGCACATCTTACTGCCTAGGTATGTGCCCTGGAGTGAGCTGTGAAAACACTTGGCATAGATACAGAAACATGAGATAGAAGTGCAGCGATGGATATTCCTGGAGATATGCAAACTTCATACAAGAGACAACACTGCAGATAAAGATAATCTATTTCAAGTGAACGAAAGGAGAAGATATACAAACTGGGCTGGTGCTCTTTAAGCATTATCTTCTGCACATTTATTGATATATTCTTATATATTTCAAAAAATAATTTTCAAATGTAACTTTTTTATTATTTTTATTTATTTGTGATCTGTGTAAAGCGGTTGTTTTTCCCTGGAATTTCCAAAGGTTTATGGCCCATTTTTTTTAGCTCTCCTGGGGTGACATGACCAAAAACTGAAAGAGGCTTACTATTACAGTAGAAAGCATATTTTTGTCACTGCAGCTACCAAATGATATACTGGAGATAACTGTCCTAGAAAGGATCAGCTGCGGGACTGACTGGTAGTCTGGTAGTCCTAGTTTCAGCTTCATAGCAAACAGGTCACCCCATCTTTGCTCCGCTCCTGTGCCAACGAAAAACACACAGAATGTTTATCACAGTATTAAAATTGCAGTTCGTCATTGATGGTAGCAGAAGTCGCCAACAGATCAGCAGTTGCCCACGCGATAAATTTTAATCACATACGGGCACCACAACACTGCACGACAGACATCGCACCATTTTCTGAATCTACAATTCGCACCAACACGTTGGTCACAGTCGAAAAAACATTCCAAATGCAATCCGCAGCTCACAGGGTCACGCCATGCATTCAACTCAGAAGCTGGGCGACGAAACTATATCTAGTCTACAAATGGAACAAAAACGCATCAGCCACCGTCCGGCAGAAGCAAAAAAATTTGCCTCTGTTTCGAACTGACTAATACTGGTTGTAAAGCTTCTTAGCGTTCTGTTCCAGTTGTCTCTCTTTCCCTTCTTTTTCATTCGCCGGCTGTGAATTCCAGCGAAAGGTGCTGGTTGTTCATCCATTTGGACTTTGATCTTGTACCAGGACGCCAGTTTTGCATGTACATTCATTTTACTGGCTTATTTGTGTGCCGTTCTTGTTCACTGTCTTTTAGGCAGACGTACTCCGACTTCGAGGGAACTGTTGTCTCTCTTGTATCTATCTCTTTAATTTCATATTTATTTGTCTGTCTGTCTGTTCATATGTCAATGCAGGCATCTATTCATTCATTTATCAATCCATTTAAGAAGAATGTTGAAAATATAATGAAGAAGATGAAGAGAAAAATATACCTGGAACAGCTGGTACACAGCATAAGACACACTTGCTACGACGACGGTTGACACTGTCAGATCCCTGGCCCGAGCCCAGCCAGAACTTGCAGGGACTAGAACAATCATACCAAACAAAAACTTTATTTACTCAAAAAGAACATGCACTTTGACTACAAACACCTACTCTAGCTATCTATTAATTTCCTTCGTATTTTCTTCAGCTTTCGTTTCCTTCCCTTTCTTGTACAGCTTCAGATTTTCATTATCATCAAGTGCTTTGCAAGCTGGCGTAAGCATTCACGCGTCTCCACAGATTTCGGTCTTTGGTGTTCTGGATCACTTCCACTGATAATATTCCTTAGTGCCACTGTCTTGAGCCAACCACCATATTTTCTTTTGGTCTGCTTCTGCCTCTTCTACCAGTGATCTTTCTAGTTGTCACAATATTCCCAGTGCTCTTTTTCTCATTACATGTCTCCTTCTTATTGTTGTATATAATGTTCTAATTTCATTAGCTATTTCCAGGCAATCAGTGTTAGTTATGCTGGCAGTCCAAGGTGTTCACAACATTTTTCTTCAGATACTGAGGGAGATAAGAGATTATTGTTCTTGCGGACATCTCAACCATCAATCTCTGATGTTATCCTTCCATTGTTCTTGATCCACCTAAGGCCCTACCTCCCTCTTTGCTTTTGGTATATCCTATGCACAGCATGTCATCATAAAGCATTCTCTGTACATCATTATCATTCTTCTTCTTCTTGGCATTCACCGGCTGTAAACTCTAGTGGAAAGTTCTGGTTGTTCATCCACCTCTGGACTTTAGACTTGTTCCAGAACCTGAGTGTTGCAGACACATCAATTTTTCAGATCTGACTTATTTGTATGCAGACTGACTGCTGGTTCCTTGCCTCTCAGATAAACTCTGACTTTAAAGGAAACCCCCAGTTAGTCGACTCATACGACATGCTTGTTGGGAAGGCAGTGGATCTGTTCCTGCTTTCCACACAATGGAGCCCTGAAACCCACACGGGAAATCATCACGCTGATGTGACATTCTATGTCACATTGGATGACAGTCTAATCCTCCAGACAATTTTAGTAATTACTATCCAACCATGTGGTGGACACTGCCCTCCGCAAAGAGGCTTTCATAAGCAGCCATCAAATGTGCACACTGATATCAAAATATGTCCTATTATGCGTGTTTCTGTTACACCCTGGTTTGTTTGTTTTTTTGGGGGGAGGGGGGGGCATAAGATGGGGTAGCTTGCCTGGGACCCAACCCTTCTTTTTCATCCAAGCCTGCGACTGGCAATGGCAGAAATATTCCCTTTACATGGGCATACCATTTGAGGTTGTGGCCTAGAGTACAATAATAACCACTATAGGGCTCATTGAAGATTATTTTTACTTCTATCATTTTTAACTCAGGTTTTCTGTAGTATATGCATATGTCAAGGCAGATAACAAATGTGTGCAGTCATAATTAAGGGATAACAAATATGTGTGGTCACCTTCTTCTTCTTCAGGTTCACCAGCTGTTAACTCCGACAGAAAGTTCTGGTTGTTTGTTCACTTTTGGACTTAAGTCCTATTCCAGAACCTGTTAAGTGCACATCTGTTTTAGAGATTCACGTGTATGCAGACTCTTGGTTTCTTGGTTGCTCTCCGGTAAATGCACTCCGACTTCAAAGGAAATTCCCAGTTGGTTGACTCTTAGGACATGCTTTGGGGTAGGCAGTGGGTCTATTCTTGTTTTCCCCACAATAGAGCCCCGGAACTAACACAGGGATGTGGTCATATTTAATGGATAACAAATCTGTGTAGTCACATTAGTGAAGTCACTTATCACAGATAACAAATCTGTATTGTCACATTAATGAAGTCACTTATCACAGATAACAAATCTGTATTGTCACATTAGTGAAGTCACTTATCACAGATAACAAATCTGTGTAGTCACATTAGTGAAGTCACTTATCACAGATAACAAATCTGTATTGTCACATATCACAAATATATGTAGTCACATATCACAGATTTATTTAGTCACATATCATAGATATCAAATTTTTGTAGTCACATACCATAGATGTGTGTAGTCACATATCACAGGTAACAAATTTGTGTCATCGCATATCACAGATAACAAAATTTGTGCTGTCACACATGACTGCTAACAAAATTTTTGCTGTCACATGTGACTGATAACAAATTTGTGTAGTCACATATCGCAGATAACAAATTTGTGTAGTCACATATCATAAATTTCTATAGTCATATATGCCATATAACCTCTGCACTGCCATCGCTCTCCACAAATAACATATAAACCAAACTCACTTGGAGCATAATATCCAGGTGGAACTTGAGGATTCAATCCAAAGCCTCCAGGTTGGTACACTGCTGCATTTTCCTGCCCTGGTGCTGCTTCCAACGCAGTCTCCTTCACCCCTGACCTCTGAATGGCGATGTTAATCTCTTCTTGTGTCAAACCTTCACAGACACAGTAAATATTTGTTGACATAAATGAGCAGCCAAAACTCACGCCTCATAAACTTAGTTTGTATTTCCTTTACAGAATGCTGCAAATTAATCACAGTTCATGCTGCCAGTTTGTTGTTTTAGTAGGCAAATTCACATTCAGTAGTTCGCCATTGCTATTTGAATGGTTGATTCCTACATCACTGCCAAAATCAACGCAAAATGGTCTGCTGCCAAATCATCTGCAGCTGAACATTGTATACCTTCATATTTCTCTGCATATCTTCATGCATTCTAGGTATATCTTCATATATTCTCTGTATATCTTCATATATTCTCTGTATATCTTTATACAATCTATATATCTTCATACAATCTCTACATATTTTCACACATTGCAAATTCACATGCATTCTGTACATATCTTCCTGCATCATGTACATATTTTCATACACTCTCTCTCCCCTTCTCTCTCTCTCTCTCTCTGCCTCTGTGTGTGTGCATGCATGAGTGTTCATGCATTCTCTATATATTTTAATAAAATATATATTTAATAAAAAAAAATAATTTTATATATTCCTCGTATATTTTCGCACATTCTGTATGCACTGCTGTACAATCTGGACATATTTTCATACATTATTTATAAATTTCACATATGCTCTACATATTTTCACACATATTATAATTTCAGATAATCTCCATGCAGAAAAACAATTCTCACACTCACAAATTCATACTCTATATATTTCATGCATTTACCTTTTTTCTCCAAAAATGCCTTTTTCTGATACAAAGGACTGGACATCACCTTAGGGTTCTGCAGGAACTTGACTGCGGTACTGATCTGTGTGCACGATACAATTAAATAGAGTGAAATCAGAAGTTGGTTGAACTGAGGTTTAATTAATCTTCTGCTGCTTCTTCACATCTGATGGCTGTAAACTCCGGCGGAAAGTGTTGGTTTTTCGTCCAGTCAGGAGCTTTTATCTTGTTCCGAAACCTGAGTGTTGTGTGCACTCTGACTTCAAAGGAAGCCTCTAAATTAGTCCCACAAGTGGTGGTGAGTCAGAAGCCAAACTAAGAATACTAGATGTGTTTCCCCTCATACCAAACAATCAGGAATATTATAACCTCTCCCAAATAAAATAATTACATTTTGTCCTCTAATTTCACGATATCAGAATATATTTGATTTATTACTAGGTGCCATGGTGGTTGGGCCCCTCACATGATCACCAGAATCATGGAACAGGTCTGTGTTGTCTGCCCAGGCCATGTGGCAATGCCATCTGTTGATCTCTTTGTCCTTCCCTTGTTTTTAAATCATCAAGTTTCCTCCGAAGTCGGAGTACATCTGCCGGAGAGGCGGGGAACGAGTACTGCAAACAAATAAGCCAGTAAAATGGATGTACACGCAAAACTCAGGTCAAGGTAAAAGCCAAAAGTCCATTTTGGACGAACAACCGTGACTTACCGCCGGAATTCACAGCCGGTGAACAAGAAGAAGAAGAAAATCATCAAGTGTGTCAACTCTTACTAACTTTTCAAGTTTATTTATTTCCAAACATTTTGATAAAATTCCTGACTGTCTATGTATGTCTAATGTCTCCAACCAGTTTATAGCTTTTATCTGGTTTTTTTAAGTGTAATTTTTTTGTTTCTTTTAAAGAAACATAACTGATCACAAAAATAAGAAGAGCAACAACAAACAGAATAAAATCTGCTACCAGGTTCTCCCGAGGTCCCTCAGTTGGTGCCAAAATCTCCTTACTCCCATCTCCATTGAGTCTGCTTTCCGTAGACTCGCCGTCCATTCAAACCTGAGTGAGAAAGATACAAATAAAGCTTAGGACATCTGTCTTGCCACTGGTGTTACACCCATCTTTTATTAACTAATCTGCATTCAGTGTGTAATAACATCATGCAGCCCATCTTTACTTTCTACAGCATTTTCTGGTGCTCATTTTTAGACAGGGTTCCAACAGTGATGGGGGATGTGTGGAGCTTCTGTGTGCTCTTTCTAATGTGGTGGTCTCCAACCTGAGGAGCACGGGCAGGTTTTAAGGGGGGTGTCAAGCAATTCTGAAATTGGGTGCATTTGTAATAGTAATCTTCTTCTTCTCTCTACTCCTGGAATGCAGCACAGTGTCAGAGCAGGAAGAGATCTCTGGAACGAGCCCTCCTGTTTGCTTCTATGAAGTACCTTTCAGTGTCTCTGATATTTCTGCGGTCCATATTCTGCATGGTCAACCTCTGGGTCTGTTACCGTTGTATCTACATAACGCTGCTCTCTGTGGTATTTGTAATAATCCATTAAAGAATTTCTTTTCAGTTTAATTATAAATAACATTAGATAATATTTTTTGGAAGCTATTTATAAACAAACAAAAAAAACAAGAACACTTTTGATTTCATAAGCAGTTAGTAAGCTTAATTAAAATCTTTTTAATGTAATAACACAGACATTTATAGACTAAGAAAACATTCTAACCAAAACACATCTCCATACTTTCTGTGGACTCTACTGACCTCTTTTTAATCACATTTTGTTATGGGGGGGGGGGGGTTGTCATATACTAAAAAGGGGGGGGGGGGGGGGGGGGTCTTGGTATATACTCAAGGTTGGCGTGGGGGGGGAGCACAGGGATCTTGCCATATACTCAAGGGAATGCGACCTTAATAAAGTCTGGAGACCAACGTTCTAATCCATAGCCTAAGTGGATCTTCATTTCTTTACGGCTGTTCTCGATGCTATCATTCCATATTTTTACATATTGCTCTGTGTTCATAATACTTCTTCAGCGTGGCAGTTAGTATCAGGGTGTTCTTGCCAGATGCCCAAACTAACTCATCTATACTTCTTCTTCTTCTAAGCATTTACCGGCTGTAAACTCCTGCCGAAACTTCTGGTTGTTTATTCACTGCTGGACTTTTATCTTCATCCAGAAGCTGAGTGTTGCATGCACATCCATTTTACAGATCTTCTTTGTATGCAGACTGGTAGTTACATGTCTCTCAGGCTAATGTACTCTGAATTAGTTGCCTCCTATAACAAGCTTGTTAGAAGGCAATGGATCTATTCTTTTCCTCCCAAAATTGTGAAAAACCGTGGTGGCATAGTGCCTGCCTGCTAGGTCAATGTTCCAGCCTAGAAGAGAAAGGATTATGTTTTTCTGACCAGCTAATAGTTGGTTTATCTTTACGGCACTTTGGACACACCCACAGGTGCTCAGATTCCTCCTTCAGCGTATACACCAACTTCCTGTAGGGGGGGGGGGGGGGGGAAGGGAATAATGCCAGTCCTGGTTAACAAAACTTCTTGTAGGTCCTGTGTTTTATGTTCTATAAAATCATATACCGGTACTGTGCCTATCATTGTTCTTAGTTCTTCATTGGTGACTCTTCGTTTTTCCTGCAAAAGGCTTATATCTTTTATTTCACATGTTTTAGCATTCACCAGCTGTAAACTCTGGGCCACGATTCTGGGTGTTCATCCACTTCCAGACATTAGACTTGTTCCAGATCCTCAGTTTTTTATTGACACCCTTTTTACAGATCTGACTTATCTGTATGCAGACTGTTGGTTCCATACCTCTCAGGCAGATGCACTCCTAGCAATTAGTCGAAGCTTATGACATGCTTGTTGGGGAGGCAGTGGGTCTATTCTTGGGCTATCCTCCGAAAAACGTTTCCAAATTATCGAGGCTAAGAAAATATCCTAACATTGCCTCAGTCATATCTAAATTGCAATTACTTTTGGATATTTTTTGGCTGTCCTCCGAATAACGGGCACTAAAGATGGCGGCCGCAAAATATCCTTTCGAGTCTCAGTCACGTGACTTAATTTGTGGTTTTCTGGCGACTACTGCCATCGCCACGAGCCTAACGCCGCTCATGTGGCGTGGATTGAGGCTAAACTAGATGGCTATGACTCACGAGCAAAGCTGCAGGAGATGCGGAAGCTGCTGCTCGTGGGTCAAACCGCAAATTAAGTCACTGGAAGTGCGCAATTGACCCGTGACTGAGGCTCGAAATGATATTTTGCGGCCGCCATCTTTAGTGCCCGTTATTCGGAGGATAGCCAATTTTTTAGAATAATTTCCTTGTGATCCGGGTTTACGCCCGGAGGTAGGCAGAAAAGCCATATTTCTCCCATATTTACGGTGTCTATTATGAGGCCCGAATGGTTACGATATCCATAGCACTGAGCCAAAGGGTTTACAACTCATGGCTTCTGGATACTTTAACAAAAAAAAATTATAAATCGAATGAATGAGATGTGATAATTTCTCAACTACTCTCAAATACTATAATTTATAATATTAGTAAGTAATAATAGTATAATATATACTTAATAATAATATACATTACAATGAGTCGATGACAATCACATGAAATCAATGCAGACTCATGAGACTGCAACAACAACCTGTTGCGTTGCAGCAGAACATATGCACACCTGGTGAGGATATTTGCGATTTTCCTGGGTTATATGTGGATATGTCTTAGAGAATTCGACAGTATCTAGTAGAAAGTGTTAATTCCTTCCCCAACTGCTGGAGCTTTCCAGCCATCAACCTTTGATCACAACAACCTGTAGTTTTAAAAATACATGCCGGCTGTTCACGAAACAAATATCCGCAATCAAAATCAACGAGGGCATCTTATTTACGAAACAAATGCTAACCACGTGACAGTCCTTTCCTTTTTTTTTTTTTGGCAAAAAGAGAGAAAAGGGGGGGGGGGGGGGGGGGGGGTCCATCCCAATTTCTTCTTCGTATTATTCTGTTGACTGTCTGATCAACTCTCTCCACCTTTGGCGGTCAGTTGCGATGGACTTCATGGTTGCATGCCTGAGGCTAACTTTTCGCGTCCGCCCTGATCTGTGACGGCTGGCGCGGTCCTTGGTAACCCGTTTGACGACCAAGCCGGTGTAGTGTCCGATCTTGGCTATCCTCCGAATAACGGGCACTAAAGATGGCGGCAGCAAAATATCCTTTCGAGCCGCAGTCACGTGTCAATTGCGCACTTCCGACGACTTAATTTGCGGTTTTCCGCCTAGTGTCCCACACGCCGCTCACGCGGCGGGGATTGGGGCTAAACTAGATGGCTTCCGCATCTCCTGCAGCTCCTGAGTCCTAGCCATCTAGTTTAGCCCCAATCCATGCCGCATGGGGGACACGTGGCGGTGGCGGTAGTCGCCAGAAAACCGCAAATTAAGTCACGTGACTGTGGCTCGAAATAATATTTTGCGACCGCCATCTTTAGTGCCCGTTATTCGGAGGATAGCCCCGATCTTTTTGTCAACAGCATGGTGCGTCTCGGACCCACACCTCTCCAGGTGACCATTTCCTCGTTAGCCTGTATCCATCCTCACGGATACAGTTTCCAGTCTGCACCACGGGGAGGTGGGGTTGGCTTGTGCGATCACGGGACAGCAGCAGGCTACTAATTTTTACTTTTCACCCTCCTAGGAGAGCTAGCTGCCCCCAACACTGCTGGCTGCAGTGCCAGCAGGTGCGTGACCACACCTTCATATCATCATCATCAGTTCTCGTTATGCCTAGTGGCAGATGAGGCTTCAGAGAGGACTTTCCATGCTTTCCTGTCCTGTGCTATCTTCAGTGCAGTTTTCCATGTCAGAGATGCCGCACTCAGGTCACTTTCCATCGTTCGTCTCCGTGTTGTTTTTGGGCGCCCCTGTTTTCTCTTTTCCTCTGGTGTCCATGTGAGAGCTGTTTTGGCAGGTATACCAGAAGTCATTCTCATAACGTGGCTAAGCCATTTCCATCTTCTCTTGGTAATCATACTGTCTAAAGTTTCTTGGTTTGTGGCTTGAAGTAGTTTAGTGTTTGAGATTGTATCTGGCCAGAAATTTTGATAATTCTACGTAGCCATGTGTGGTGGAAGGTGGACAGCTGGAAGCACCTTCATATACTCAGGCAAAATGTCGCTTAGCCAGCTAGCAGGTATTTGCCACTGACCAATCTTGATTTCTGTTCTGAATGTGAAAGGCTCTCATTCGATGCCGCCTCGATGAAACTATAAAAAAAAAAAACTGACTGGAACAGTTTTGCTAACCTTGCTGATGTATACTCGATAAATGTAAACAGCAAATCAAGTCAGGTTGCGTAACTAGTAAAAGAGTTTACAGAAGCCATATTAAACACAGCTAAAGAAACCACACTTTCGGGGTTCGTTGAAAGATTACATCCTATTTTTGTCCTAACAAATTCAAGACCTTCATCAAACTATTTCAGAAACAAGGGATAGCGTAGAAAGAAACCCAACGGTAGAAAACAACATTACTTACAAAGCAGCAGAAGCGAAACTCAAGAAAGAAACAATCGGAGCAACTAGGAAGAGCTGACAAGACAAGGCCAAGGTAAGTTTTGAAAAAGAGCATGTTCATCTGTTTAACTTATTCATATTTCTCAAACTCTTGTTACATACGCCTTCTTACTTATTTCGTTTCGTATTTAAGCCCTTCATATTCATATTTTTTCCCGTGGTCGACCTTTTCATTTTTTTTATTAAAAGGACTTGGACTTGGACATATTTTTTCCCTCATTACGTTCTTCTTGGTTTTTTTTTTTTTTAATGTTGACCTTGGTTTTTTATTAGCTCCTTTGTCTTGTCTGTTGCGTTTTTCCAGTCACTGTTTGTGCTGTATTTAGTATTCCGTTGATGAAGACTGTGGTCGAAATGTTTAGTTGTGTTCGTCTGCGTCTTATCCATTCCTTCCGTCGAGCTTACTAATCAATTTTTGTGTTATATTCAGCATCTAATGTCTGGCAGCTCCAAGCTGCATCCC